ACTACAAAAAAGGTGTCTATGATCTATGAATGCAACCATTTCCCAAAGAAAGTATTTTTTTTGAACTTCGGCTAACGATGTGAACATGACACAGCAACAACAGATATCAAGGTTGAAACCCAGGTTTCCTATAAATGATTGATCATTTCGAGATTACCAGTTCAAGAGGATATAACGTCAATGCCTTTTATGTAATATCCATTAGCAATTCCTTTCCTAAAAATCCAACAGTTTAAATTCCTATTTTGCTATCTTTTAACGGTGTGCCCCAGATTTTTCGTGAAGAGTCCTGAATGGTCCTAAACTGGACAAATGCCTCCCTACAACAATTCAGGAAGATAGTGAACGAAGAATAAGCAACAAATACAGAAATTTAAAAATCTCCAACATATACTCTCGCAATACTTCCAAAAAACACACACAAAGCCCAACAATAATGAGAGAACTCTGAATTAGAAACTATAATCTTTCTTTTTTTTTGTATCCCATCTCTACCTGTCTTCTAGGCAATCACACCACTATTAATTACCTTTTTCTCTGCTAAATAGTCAATCTTTCTTTACCTACTAGGCCTTCCCCATCCAAGTTAACACACACTTAGGTCTCTCCAAACTAAACAAACAAAAAACCTTCTGAATCCTACACCACATCACTACCTTTTCTAGGTCCTATCTTGCCAGCCAAACTTCTTGAAATAAATTTGAGGTCTCTGTTCTTTCACCTCCACTCAAAATATTATTCAATTTCCATCCCTCTATACAAATAGCTCTTGCAATGGTCACTAATGCCTTCTATGCCTTTTATGCCTTCTATGGTCACTAATTGCTAACTATCATGGTTATTTTTCAGGTTCTCATTTTACTGGACATCACACCAGCAGCTGACACAGTTTACTTCTATTTCCATTTTAAAACATTTTTCTTCTGGTGTCTGCCATCCTCTATCCCCCTAGATTTCTCACCAGGTCTTCTAAGTCTCCTTTGCCAGATCATCGTCTACGCCTAGTCATTCAGTTTGAGTCTTCTTGGAGTTTAGTCTGGGTCGTCTTCCATTCTCTATCTTCAGCCTTTCTATTCAGATTATTATATCAATTTCCATAACTTTAAATACAATATACATACTAAAGATTCCCAGATTTTTCTCTCCATCAGATAGATACCTCCCTTTGAATCTAGAGAAATTTATTTTCAAAAGTAATTCAAAACTCAAAATGTGTTAAACCACATTTATTGTACTCCCCTCGCCAAAATAACACAACACCTATTCCTTTTTTCAGAATTCCCTTTCTTAGTGAATAGCATGATCCCCTCACCCAACTGCACAAGGTAGAAACCTAGGAGTCAGCCCTGGCACCTCCCTCTCCCACACCCTCACATCCAATCCATCACCTAGTCTAAACTACCATAATCTTATCTCCCTGTGTCCTCTCTTCTGTACCAACCCATTCTTTACATAGCATTGTGAATAACAATTTCAAAATCCAAATGCGATTATACCATATCACACATCCCCATGGTAACCCTCTTCCATGCCAAAACCACCCAAAGGCTTTCCATTAACTCTAAGATAATGAATGACATCCACAAACTATTCTTTATGTTCTTGAATGATCTGGTCATGTAGAGCTATCCAAGCACAACTTCTTATTTCTATGCCTACTATCCACTCTTAAATACTTCACTTATGATATTTTTTTTATACCTCATGTTTCTGCCTTGACAGGTCCCCATTCTCACCTTCATGTTCCTCCAAACTAGTGCTTTGCATAATCAACCTCCACTCATCATTCAGTTTTAGTTCAAAGATCAATACACCTTGGAAGCACTCTCCTACGTTCTTTCAACACTTAGAATCTTCCCTTTAAAACATTTATTACAGTTTAAACTACATACTGATTTTTACTCATTTGATTTATTTCTGTCACCCACTAAATTCTAAGTTCCATGAGCTCAGTGCCATGTCTGGCACATGACCAGCACTCAATAAATATTTGTAGATGCAATAAAAGAATTAGATATCTGTTCTCCATTTTTGACAGATCCATAGGATACAATTCCTGGAAAAAAATGTAAATCTTACACATGCAATATTTCTTGGTTACAGAATTATTTTCTCATAAGAAATGAAACATACTCATGCCAAAGGCTGTTTCAGAGA